CCATCATTAGCAATACAAAGGGTAATACGATTTTGCAGTTCACAGAAAACATTTGCCAACTGATTTACAGTAATGCCTGAAATCACATTAGTTATTTGAGCTATACTTAAAACTAGGTACATTAAACTTTATAACATTTTTTACAGATTATTTCTATCGCAAATACAAATAAAGTTATAAATTTTTTAAAGTGCACACGTACTTTATGGACACCCTGTATATGACTGAATGATTTTTGTCATATAATGCTGAAAACTTTCGTATCGACCAATTTACGGTATGAATTATTTTGCCGGAAGATAGTGTTAAGTCTTCGAAAACCCGAGAAAATATTTTGCTGACAAAGGAATGATAATTTGATATTCATCTGAATAAAAGAAAATTTCCGAAGAAATTGATGAAAACTCTTGCAATAAACAAAATAAAATATAAAATATATGGTAGACCTCTGAAAACCGGTGCAAGGGTCGTGATAGCAGAAAATGGTAAGCAGGTAAGTAAACGTTGCTTTCAAAGAACCATGGGGGAAATTAAATAGTCAAGATTCCAGGCACCATCTTTGAGGTATTTTTTCTCATTATCAAATGATTCTTTGTGTTTTGAGATTCCGAATTCCTATAACGATGCAATATGTTTTGTTGAGAGAATAATTAATTTATAAAATTATATGAATACTTGAACATTGTGTAGCAACTTATTTTTACTTTTAATCATTTAACTTCAAACCATAAAGCCACTGAAGCTGAAATTTCTGGGACACGTAATGAGAAGGGTGGGCTTGGAGAATCTGATACTCGCAGGGCGGATAAAGTGAAAAGAAACAAGGGAAAGTAACGCGTGAGATATCTAGCGGGATTAACAGGGTTTGAGAGTAGTAACAAAATGAAAATACATATTGAGAACTACAAGGGATAGGAGGATGTGGAGAGCCATGATCACCTACGTCCTGAAGGAACACGGCACATAGAAGAAGAAGAAGCTCCGCTCTGTCTTTTCTATAAATATTTTCATCGTAATCGTTCTGGTTAAGATCTAAATATGTTTTATTCTTTTGCTGCTTCTCCCAAATCCTTTTCTGTCATCCATTTGCTTAAGTCCGCTAGGTATGTCACGCGTTGCTTCCCCTCTACGCGCCCTGTGAGTATCAGATTCTCTAAGGCCTCCTTTATCATCACGTGTCCCAGAAATTTCTGCTGCCTCTTCCTTCTTGTTTGCATCCTTTCCAAAATCTCATATTTGCTCACATGTTCGGTATATGGTATCCTTATTATCCATCTGTAGAACCATACCTCCGTTGCCTAGAGTCTCTTCATCTGTGAGGAGACCGTCTAACATTCTGTTGTGGCTTGTTTAGAGGCCAGAAAAAAGACATGGAAGACGAAGGTGTTAGAATTTTTGTGTACTAGTGAGCCAGTCAAAATGAGCTGACTCATGTTATAGTTCACCAATAGAAGGCTTAACCAATCAGAAGGCTCAAAATATTCAATGCGATGTGTATAAAGGCGGCCATCTTTTTTTTCCCGAATACTCACTGCCAACCTTTGTTCGTGAGTGTTAATCTTTAACGTTGTTTCATTGAACAGATTACGTACTGCGCTGTATTCTATATTCATAGACTATGATGAACATGGTCGACAGAAGGTAGGTTGAACAAGTATATTGAAGATATATACAAAGCAAGAGTGTTAGTAATAAGTAGATAGCAGTGTACGTCCGAACGGTAGGTTAGCACTGCGTCAACATTCCCCTCAACTGACTCTCGTAGTTAGCATTTATGAGAGGAGGAAGTGTTCATTCTACTGTAGGAGGGTTTACTACAACAGATTCACTTCCGTAAAAGAGGACAGATATCACGCATGACTACAATAATCTTCGACTTTACTAAATATGAATTTAGATAAGGATTTAAACTGCTTGGAAACAGATTAAGATATCTTAAGCCGTATAGGAGTTGAAGTGGATGGCTTTAATGCTGGAAGATTAGTAGTCATAAAGGCCTCTACAATTCACTCTTTCGGAAACGTGTTTGATCCATGCTTAACCTTTAGAAGAAGGATTGTTATCTCAGGGATACCGTATGTGAAAATCATCTCCGGGGATAATTGATTTCGTCGCACCATTTGCGCATAAACTATTCGTTGACACACATAAGCACGCATACACGCACCAACCGTGCGTACTTAGTAAAATACACACATTATAAGTACTATTCACCTATATATGCGCATACATCAGTACTAGACGTACATATCGACACTATTTACACACACACACACACGCATCAGCATTCACAGAAACGGATAGACGCACATATTAACTCTATACACGTACACAGAGGTATATATATCAACGTTATTCATACACGTAAACGTACATATCAAAACTGTTCATACATGCGCTCACACACATCAATGCTATACGCATACAGTTACAGCACACGCACAAGAGTGTTCAAACATAAACTTACACATTAATCCACACAGGTGCATAAACGGTTTGATACTAGAAACACATATCGGCAAACACCTAAACACACACAGAAGTCGACACATAACACACACACATATCAAAACCATTCACGCATAGAAATACACACTATTTCCATACATAAACCAAAACACTGACGCCCACAAACACACACATTCGTTCACAGATAGCAACACTATTCAAATTGACACACAGGGGAGCAAACACGTGAATACATGCACACATATTAAGACTATTATCTAAGCCAGGGGTCGGCAACCTAAGGCACGCGTACCACACGTGGCAGGCCAAGCAATTTCCAAAGACACACAACCACAAATGACGTCACGAAGTCCGAACCAATAATTACTACAACGCAAAGAAGATATTTAGCTGTTTCAATTTTAATATATACTAATATATATATATTATATTACAATAAAATATATTGTAGAACAAGTATATTGACCATGACTTTTGTAAAAATACGTATGCTGTTGAATGTTGACACATAGCAAAAGGATGCCGACCCATAGTCTAAATAATGAACAACGTTAATGCATCAATATTTGATAGCAAGGAAAAAAAGGAACAAAAAGAATATTTTGTAGCCTGTAATGAGGCTTCGAAAATTTGATACACATTCAAAGATAAAGAAGAAACTTGAGACAACAGAAATGTAGTTCTACAGAAGGACGCTGAGGATATAATGGACTGAATATGTGAGCAACAACAAGGTTTCAAAGAAAATGGGAACAAAAAAGAAATTTCTATATAATATCAGGAAGAGAGTTGAATTTTCTAGGGCACGATGAGAAAAGAGGGCTTGGAAAACCTGATGCACACAGGACAGACTGTAGGCAAGAGGGACAGAGTGAAACAATGCATCACATAATTTGTGAGCTTGAGAAAAAGGTTGGTAAAGTAGAGGAAAAGGTGGAGAGCTATGATTGCCTACATTCAGAAGAGACACTGCACAGAGAAGAAGAGGAAAAATTCTATGTTTCATGGGAATTCTTAATTATGGCATTGTTGGAGTCAAGACAACCTGTTACTGCACGAATGCTTGAAGGAACAGTTAGGTCATTCAGCATGGTGAATGTGGAATGACATATTTCAGATCAATTTAGATGCGTAGTAATGCACATCAAGTTGTTGGAAATGCGACAAAGTAAATATCTGGGGAACCGGGATGGAAGTGTTCTATTTGAAGCATATTCTCCAAGCATGTCACTTAAAGGTTATCATACTTGTTTCAATTCATCTTAAATTTGATCATTGGTTCCAAGAACTTTAGAATAGTGAAATATTCCTCGAAGAATTCATATTTCTTCATGGCTGAGTATACTGAACTGCTCCTTCTCAGTGCAAGACGATGCTTGAGGTAACAGTTATGTGGTTTTACAGGAAGACATTAAGAATATCAGGAAAAGAACGTATGAGCAATGAATCAATTTTTAAGGAAAAAAAAGGAACAGAAAAGCCATCGGAAAATTTGATACTCTTTGGACATATTGAAGGTCATATGGTAACATTGATTTGGCTTATTTTGTTTTATGGCATATCAACAATGGGTAATTTAATGAAATAAAACAAAATTTATTATGAGCTGCAAAGTACAAAGAAATATGTAGAGCCATAAACGCCTACATCCTGTAGAGACATTGCATATAGAAGATGAAATGTTCTCTGTTTCATGGCAATTCTTAATTATGGCATTGTTAGAGCCAAGACAACCTGTTACTGACCAAATGCCTGAAGGATCAACTGGATTACTCGTTTTGCTGAAGGTGGAATGCCATATTTAGGAGCAAGGAAGGCAACGAGCAATTTAGATTTAAATTTGACTACAATTCAGAAAATATAAATTTAATTTATTCTGGGAATTGTTTTAACAGGACAAAAATCGAAACGTACATTGGGATAGTCAAAGATGCATTTCAAAAGCTATTAAGAAACATAAAAAAAATTGTTAGAAACAAAGAAAAGAGTACTGAACTGTTTCACGATATCTGTCCTCTTATATGGCAGAAAATGATGAACAATTTCCTCAGGATAAAGAAAAGATATTTCAAACATCAGAAGGATGCTGATGTCATGAAACGAATATATGAGCAAAAACACGGTTTTAGAGAAAATGGAAGAAAAAAGAAATTTCTACTTACTATCAAGAAGAGAATTAAATTTCTAGGACACATAGAGAAAAGAAGGTTTGGAAAATATGAGGCTCACAGGACATAATGAAAGCAAGAGAGACAGAGGAAAACCACGCATTACATAATTAGTGAGCTTGTGTAAAAGTTTGCCAGAGTAAGTCTTAGGAGAAATAACAAAGCCAAAATTTATTATGAGCTTCAAAATACAGGAAAATGTGGAGAGCCATGATCGCTTACATCCTGAAGAGATGCTGCACGCAGAAGAATAGTCAAATATCTCTGTGTTTCATGGGAATTCTTAATAATGACATTTGCTTGAAGGGAAAATTAGGTCATTTTTGACGATCTTGGATTTAAGAAACTTACAGATATTTTACATTGGAGCACCGATCCTTGTTTGATCACCAAAGTTAAGCAACGTCGATCCTGGTCAGTACTTAGATGGGTGACCGCTTCAGAATACCGCGTGATGTAAGTTTAGATATACAAGTGGGATAATGGGCTTACGGCCCTATCACGTTAAAACACCAGTCTCGTCCGATCACCGAAGTTTAGCAACGTTGAATCTGGTCAGTACCCAGAGGAGTGACTACTCTGAAATATAATGTTCGGAAAGCTTGGGTGTGTGGGTGGTGTGATGAATAACAGTTCGGAATGAGAAATGGGCGATCTGAGTTCGAATTGCAGTCGTTTTCGTTATATTCACTTAAGTGCAAATACCATTGGGAAACGTATAAATCCGCCACTCCCCCCCCAGGTACGAGTTAAATAGTATGACTTCCATCAGAAAATTATTGCTATCGAAAAAAAATTTACAGTTCAAAAATGTATTTAGACATTAAATAAATTTGAAGAGGTTGATAATCCGTAAAAAAGACTATTCAGTAATTAAACTGGATTTACCAAAACGATGTTCAGTAAATGCTGTGAAACTACAGAAGTTGCTTCAAGAAATACGAAATGCGTAGGACTGAACGGACTTTTGCATTTAAAGAACAAACATTTCCCCTAATTATTTCATTAAAATGAAGTTATGTTTCAAGACATCTTTCGTTATTGTTACTACTTTAGTCACATATTTATTGCTAGAGTTCTTAATAAAATTCAGTTCTATGTTTATTTGATGTCTGCCTGCGCAGCGTCGCTATGCACAGTCGTCTTTCTCTGTTTATCCTGCTGTTATATCCTCCAGGGAACGTCTCGATGTCTCTTATCATGGCATATGTCATCAAATAACACGATGAAATTGCTTGCTTCTCGAATAGAAAACTTTATATCTGCTATGTAGAATTCACAGCAGCATAGAGCCATACCAATAGAGATTTACGCTTCTCATGTATTATAATCCACCTTTCAAGCTCCGAATCAACTGAATAAGTCTGAGAGAAGTCGTTCCTTAATGTCGTATACCTGATGAGGACTCTAATATCGAAACATCCCAATCCTCATCAGAAGTACGACAGGAAGAAAATGAGAGCCTCAGTATATGTAATCTTTTCTTAGGTTATACCCTGAGCATATAGAAGCAGATATAAAGAGATGGCTACTGATTCTTTAAGCATTCCATACTGTATCCCAAACGAACCTAGGAATATAAAACAGCTTCCCCTCACGAGGCCAATGTGCAGAGAAGTAGAGATCTATGCCGATGATAAAGGCATTCATAATCAGGAAAAGACTAGACTTGAACAAATAATCAGAAGACTTTACCAACTATTCCAAGAAATAAGACCCTAAATAAGGGTGCTGGAAAACCCAACACGCCGACTCAATACCACCAACTCAACACCGCCGACTGTGCACCGGGACAACGCAGGTCTGAGACCAGAAAAAACACAACTTTATTTTAGAACTGAATAAAAGTAATTTATTAAAGATTAAAACTTTAATTAGTGAATATTTTTTACTTCATTAAATTTTTTTTTATTTCTTTACGATTTATCTTATTAAAAATAAATAAGCTTTCTTTATGTGTCTGCTATCAACTCTGTGTACCTGTGTAGCTGTACAAACCTTACAGCAACTGCCGTCTGTCTAACTCTCTGCATTAGCAGGGAGGAACCCGAACGAAGCTTGGCCGAAGGGCAAGGTTTCATTCGGGGAGGTTATGACAGCTCTCGAACTCGTCTAGGCGAGTCGAAGGCTATATTTTCGGCCGGGCCTACGGGATCGGGTGACCACGTAAAACTCGGCCTTGTGACACATGCTACCCCACGTGGGGGACAGCTAAATATAGCTATCAACTCTGTGTCATCTGCATATCTTATGTTGTCAAGATTGTGACCGCCAATAATATATCCTAGTAGGTCTTCTCTCACTGTTGTCCTATTCTTTATTGCCTCCAATTAGAATATCTGATGCTCAACCTCTTTGCGACTGCTTGATCTCAAACGGTCCGCTGACCTGAGATGGAACAAATACATTGAATCAATAGCTTCATCCACCGCAAGGAAAGTTGGTCCCTTGTGTCGCTCCAGAAAGTTTTTCTCGCCCCGAGTCCATCCTTTTAATCTATAAATCAACCATTCGCCCTTGCATGGAATACTGGTGTCCCCGCTGTTCGTCTTAAGGTCCTCGAAAAATCTAGAGTCGATATGCAATGTGATTGGCTCTGATCTGGCATTTCGTCTACAGTCGCTCTCTCATAGATGTACCGTTGCTTCGCTCTGTCTTTTCTACAAATACTTTCACGGTAACTGCTCCGACGATATATTTTCACTAGTTCCCAAACTGCATGAATTTAAACGTGCTACTAGGCTGACATCTCTGTTCTTAACCATTTAGTGTCGAAATGACTAAATGTAGCCATCTCTTCTACTCCAACAGATTCTTATCTTGCACCTCCCCTTAGTAGAACACCTTTTCTTTCACTGGCTACCCGGATAGATATAATCCTCAAATATTCAAATGTAAAGTCAATCGACATCTTCAGATACGTTCATTTATTCCCTGTTCTTCTCTTCATCCTTTCCTCTATCACGTCTCTTTACTCTCGCCCCACTCTCTGTAACCCCTTGTGTGCTAGTGGCATCCCACCTTGCTTGGGGTGAAATGCTTTAAAGGAATATTCAGGACAATTCGACCGTTGTACGCTCCGGTTCTCTTCAGTGGATATACGTTGGAATTTTGAACCGGGGGTAGATTTTTTTTTAAGTCTACGTGTTATGCCCTTTGGATGTCTGTATACATTCCCTTTCATATGCGATGAATTAGAAGCCATTTTTAAAATCCAAGATACATAGCGCGAACAAGAATTAATAAAGTTTGCAATGAAAAGAAAAAAAGGTAAAAAAGATGAAACAGCAACAATCATGCAAGCAAGCAAACAATATGTTTAAAGAACATCGAAATTTGTAAGAAGGCAAAAAGAAAAAAAATTCACAATGAGTTGATGTTTGTACACAAAAGCAAGGCCTGACAAGTGAACGCAGTAGTTCTGTCAAGTAGTTAAGGCAGATCTGGACTATTATTTACCTCTCCCCACAAGGTAAGATATGGCACAAGGCCGTTTTTTACGTAGGACGAATCCGAGTCCGTAGGCTTGGGCAAAATTTCCCCGTAAACCTTCCATACACGGGATCGGGCTTGTCTATATCCCCAGACGTAACTCTGCCCTTCGGATAGCCTCTTCCGGGTTCCTACCTGCCCGAAGGCAGAGAGTTCAACAAGTCAGCCCGAACCACCCAAATCGACAGATCTGAACTGAGGTTATTTACCTCGCCTCCCCACCAAGCAAGATGGTTATTTTATGTGAGGCAAATCCGATCCCCGTAGACTCCGCATACACTGGGTTTGGCTTGTCTACCTCCCCAGACGTGACTCTGCTATTAGGCATAGCCTCTTCTAGGTATCCTGTCAGCTCAAAGGCAGAGAATTTGACAAGTCAGCCTAAAACGCCTGAATCAGCAGATCTGGACTGAGTCATGTCAAAAAGCGAGCCGTCCTATTTTATTGGCTAAGAAAAATATCCCAGCATGCATTTTTGTCCTTCTGTCTATAAGAGTAGTGCAGGAAAACTTGAAATCATTCCCACTCCTTTTGATGACCAGCCTTTTCCCACTTTCCCTTTGGCCTTGTGCCACAATTTCTGTAACAGCCAGAAATTGTTATGGGATCTTACCCATAATAACATAATGGACTATTCCATACGTAATAAATACTGCGCCTCAAGAGGAAGCAGGGTGTTCAGTCCGAAGTCGGACGATCGGCTGACTGGCTGATCGGTTGAACTCTCTGCCTTCGGGCAGGGAGGAACCCGAACGAGGCTACGCCGAAGGGCAGAGTCTCTTTCGGGGAGGTAAACCGACCCTGAACCCGTTTATACGGGTTCAAAGGGCATATTTTTGGCCGAGACCACGGGCTCAGAGATCCCACGTTAAACCTGCCTTGCGCCACATGATGCCCTCGTTGGGGGGGGGGGTGACTAAATACTGTTCAGTCTGAAGTCTGGATTGAGGTCCGTCAGGAGTCTGTCAGTCACTCAGAGTGAGTCAGTCAGTCGAGTCAGAGGCAGTCCGAAACAGAGTCGCGTTCAGACAATTACTACTAAACCTGATTGTTCGTACTAACACTTTCTACTTCTCTGTATATATTCCTGTTTGTAATATATCTGTGTTATTCCATATCCGTGTTCGAGTTCTTCTTTATTGGTTCTACCTTGGACTATCACCGTGTTACAAGGAACCGGACCATAACAGAAATAAATATACATACCCACTTCTTTTTGGGAAATCAACAATATGTTTTATTAGAATTCAAATTATCTCTGATGAAATAATAAACAGTCCTGAGGAGTAAAAGTATTTAAAATAAGAGCAGTGACAAGGGGAAAACCATTCATATGCCACTCCATTTTTTGTGGGGGCACTATGGTCCCAGTTTGCCTAATTTTCAAATAAAGAGTTACTAATCAGATCCTCATATTTTAGGTTAAAGCCTTACTTCACTTATGAATGTTAGTGGGTCATCCAAAGGTACATTTTTAAATAGATCTGTGATGCTCTTGCTATATAACAGCTGAGAATGAGATATCCTTCTTTGTTATGGCCTTGAAAGTAACAATACCTTACATATGACTTTCCTTCAGGACAAGCTAGATTTTGTCGACCAAATGCACAATATTATCTATATTCGAATCTAACACTAGAAAAAGTTAGTAGAATGTTATAGGCTATTGAATTGTACAGATCAGTAAGATCGATTTTAAATAAAATTGTACCTGCCATATACGCATCAATTCCAAGACGACTTGGAAACCATTCTTGAATCAGATGACGTATTTGAGCCGGGGAATTAGATATATTTAGTTTAAATTTCGAAATCATTGGCGTCATTTAAACGTATGTATTTACCACATATTCTTGTATTATCTACAACTGTGTTGCATTTGATTTTCATAGAAACAACAAAACTGATAATTTCATCATCCTCGGTATGACGATAAACTACATACGGCAGCAAGACCTCTGATCAGGA